GGATGAAAGCATTGGTTCATCAAAACACCCAACCTGAAGCATTCGGTGGTACTTGAGGGTATTAAAGAATGCTTGAGAATCCTTCCTTGGTAATTATGGAGATCCAGAACCGATTGCCTAGACCACTCTCATAAGTATTCGCTTTTGGTATTTCAATAGAGCTTTCTCATGTCTATATAGATTGTATTTTAGCTGCATCCGGCGAAGATAAAAGGAATTATCACAGGGTGTAGGTTACACTAAATCAAGAGTAACAAAAAAAACATTTTTAGATTAACAATATAACAAGCGCCACTTAGTTTTTGTTCACCAGTATTGGCTATAGGGAGGAAAACTCGTGATACGTGGCATTTAAAAAGTAACCGTACCTTATCAGCACTACCCGTAGCAATGATAAATTCCGAGAAAGGATTGAACGCTAGACAGTTGACTTCTGCAGTGTGCGCATCCACTTGATGCTGTGGCTTGTTCCGATTATTGCTACGTGTGTCCCAAACCATGAGTTTATTGTCATCAGCCACGGAACCAAAGATGTGACCGTGAAACAGATGCCAGGCAACATCTTCCACCACTGAATGATGTCCCGTGAAAATGGCCATCGCATCCAAACAACGACCATCTAGGGGAGCTGCGTTGATATCCCATAAACAAATGGTCTGATCATCGGAGGCAGAAAGTAGGTGTCCATGTATTGAAGCGTTCCATGACAACCCGTAGCCTTCCTTTTGATGTCCCTGGTAGGGGTGTGTGCAGTTTATGGTTAACGATCAATGCAGTCTATAAAACAATGATGACTTCAATGCGTTTGATGGAAATTCAAACAAAGAAATGAGCGTTACATTCGTTATATAACAGTTTAACTTAGCAAACGCCAGTAATTATGGAGCATTGAAATCTTTGATGAAAATTTAGGTAGGTTATGATGTGACGGATCTTCACTCTATCCGGTTGATAACAAAGCAGAAAACCTTCTAGCTGATGTAACACATTGTCGTGAGAAACCGGGCGAGTGAGTCAGTGATGAGCTCACAACTCGCCGAGCACATTAATTCGCTGAACTAAGGATTGTTAGTTTCGAAAGATGCGGAATAATGCAGAAGAGGAGTCTGGCCGTATATAGGCTTTAATCTTTTAACAATCGTCCAAAAGCTACAATGTAAGAAAAGCGAGAGTTAATGAAGTTCCATGTGAAATAGGGTAACACATCTGTTTTTGACAGGAATAACAGCTATCAGAAAAATGAAATTCTGGAGTGGAATGACGAAACTCGAGAATCGTTAATTAGTGGTAGAATACTACAAGTCCAAGACAAGCGGAGAGCTGTTAGCTACTAGGAACATCTTCATACGCTGAATAGTACAACGGCTGATTCGGTGATCACCGCGGGCATTAATTCATTGAATAAGCGGTGACGAACGATATCTGAGTATAAGACGGTTTTTAACTGGCAATCACTTCAAAAGCCCCTAACGTCCGTAGGAAGGAAATCTATTCGGCCACTAAATGAGACCGTCTCAAACACTCCGTTATGCGTTCGGTTAGGTAAATGCACTTTAAAAAAATGGGCCTAGTGGTACTGTGACCATCACTTTGTACAATACACCCAAGATACATCACCAATCCATTCAAGAAGACAGGACTTATTTTCACGCACGACGAATTCATCTAAAATGAATATATTCGTTTAAAGGAAAACCAATAGATACGATCAATGACATCAATCGATGTGTTCCCACAGTGCTGGTGGCAAGATCGAAATCAATTTTGAAATTACTTATGATACATTACACAAATACGACGACGTACAAAATTAAGCATCCTGGTTCTTGTGGTCGTTAAGGTGTGATTGTATAATGTTTGGACTTCCTAAGCACCACATAATCTGGCTCATGCGTCAATCATATTTCGGCTTCTAGTTTTTCCCAGTATATTTAAACCACTGAAGCGCTGCTCGACCGAATGGTTAAGGTTTTCCATGAACTCCAAGCTACATTGCTCACGAGTATTGTTCCAACACGAAAATTTGTCGCAGTGAACTGTTATCGATCACAGAATAGCTGCAATGTGGGTGAGTAATCAGTGCCGAAGCAGAAACAGTTACCATTGTTCCAGTACCATGCTTTTGAAACCCGAGATTCTCTTTGGCGAATCTCTTGAGGCCTAGGTAAGATGATAACGGTATTTAGTCGAACGATACCAAAGCTAATAATAGATCACATTAATCAGTCAGATGATGGCGCCGTATGCAGCAAAGACAAAAGCTGTCTCTCCTCGAACGATCATGCAGATTTTGGACCATTGTTCGTACTTTATGAACTTTCCTAAGTTGCTGACTTTCAGGTTTTTGGTCTTGTTTTTGCATCTATCCCGTTGCCCACTGGTTTATAGTAATAGAGCCAAATTCGTTAAGAAATGACACCATGACAGAAAACGCTGATGTTAAACTGATTCTTTTGATTTTACACTGAAGGTTTTAAATGAAGAGGAAAGCATTTCACTGTTGGGATGAAATGAATTATTAAAGACCGCCACGTATCCACACAGAACCACGGTAGTAAAATGTATGGTGAAAGTGTTGTGAGATACTACTCATATTTGTGAGCAGCACGCACATTGCTGTGCTCAAAATAATAACTACGGACTGTTCCATTCATCACCCCGTGTGCTGCCAGGAATTGTGATGACATGTTCAAAATGTAAGATCTTGTGTAGAGCAAATTGTCGATACCCTAACTGTGGTTCGTAATAAAGGATTCCCCCCAAGCCGTCGCCGGTCTTCTGGAAATATAACAACTGATACCGTCGCCAGGGTGAAGGTTTGATGACCTGCAGCTTTCGAGCATAGAGACGCGCAGACCTTCCTGGAGGAGTTCGAGAACGTCGCGGAGCTGGAGAGAATATGGAAGGACCGGGGTAAGTTGACGGCCCTCCGAGCGCTTCAAAAAGGCCTTGCGCGGGCGGTGCTAAGAGGCCCTGAGAAGATGGAGTGGGCTGTCGTGAAGCACTCCCCGATCTCGGGTTTCGACAACCCGGGAGGCTTTGCGGTGCTTCAAGACGGCGCAGCTCGGATTTGGTGTGGACCCCCTGTCGCATGCCGTGGCCCTGCGCACCCTGTGGGAGCGGGCGCTGCCAACTTCAATCAAATGAGACCCTGGGAGCATGGAATATGGCTGTAAAAATAGTTGGTGGTTACCGGTTGAAAGTAGACGGAGTAGAAACAGAGACAGTTCGTGTTGGAAACGAGATAATCAAGCATCCGTTTGTCATATCAAAAGACAATCCAAACTATACTGGTATCAGATATCTTCCGCAGTTGATCTGAACGACAGACGGCTTGATACCATAAACGTCACGTTCCTGCTTTTGCGGTCGGAAGGGGAACAGTACAGAAACAGAACACAAATGTGTCGCCGTCATTTCAGCCACTACACTTGAAGGATGAAGTCAAGCCGCGAGTGGAACAACTGTTGAAGGAGGGAATCATTGTAGAACCTCCAAGTCCGTATAACTCGCCCGTGCTACTGGTCAAAACCCCACCGGCAAACTCCGGTGATGTGTGGATTTCCGCCTAGTAAACGCTGTGACTATAAAAAAAACCGGTCCTAGTCTCGACTGTGACAGAACATTTCGATCAACTACAAGATGCAAAAGTGTTCTCAGTTGTGGATTTACGTTCGGGACATTGATAAGTACCAATAAAGAAAGCCAATTGAGAGAAAACGACGTTCATAGTCGGCAGTAAACAATATCATTGCAAACGAATACCGTTGGCACTATCAGGAGCACCACTTACATTCAGCCGCTTTTTGCTGAAGTTATTCGAGGGTCTCCCCAAAGTGGTGGTGTATGGCAACGATATTGTTGTCTACAGTCAAAAAAAGCCAAACACGTTCTACTTGGCAAGCGTTCTGAGAAGAATCCAAGAATCTGTCCTTCGGATTGATGGGTCGAAGTTGCGAATTGGGAAAACGACGGTGACTCTACTTGGTCATAGTTTTGGAAACGGATAAGTGAGGCCATTCCCTGATATGATCTTCAGGTTAAAGGAGTTCGCACGCCCAACATCGAAAAGAACATGAAGAAGTCAAACAAATTTTACGACCATCGCTGAACCGGTATACGCGTTCCTCAAGAAAGAACATCGCTTTCCATGGACACTAGAGACTCAGAAAGCCTTCGCTGAACTTCAAAGGCTCATGACCGAACAAGCCTGACGCTGAAGTTTCCGTTGATTGGTGAGAGCTTCACAATTGTGATGGATGCCAGTGACACTGGAGTGGGAGCCGTACTCAAACAAGCAAGTGGAGTGGTTGAATACGAAAGCAGGGTCCTTACTTCAACGAAACGGAAATATTCCAACTCGGGAAGAAAATGTCATCGTTTGGGCAGTTGATCAGTGGTGACCATATCTTCTAGTCCAAACGTTTTATATAGAAAAGAACCACAAGCCACTGCTGATGGTGCCACAAGACCCACATGAATTAGTGAAAGAACAGCGCATAGACCAACAACTCCACAAGGTGATTGAAGCAGACTCACAAGGCCAACAATACCGAAACGCGCAGCATAGCACACACAAGATGTCATGGAAATCCTTATGGAAGTAGTTTCATTTGAATGCTGCCGATGTCTTGATGAAACGGCATCCAGGAAGAAGCTGCTCTGTAATTGTCATTCAGAAACAGATGCACCAAATCCTTATTAAAGAAAGTCATGAACTGGCACACATTGACTGCACACAGATCTACGATCTGCTTTAACAGCGGGAGTATTGGCCAAATATGCAGGCTGATGTGACAAAGCAGGTGCTGGCGTTTGAAGAATGCCAACTTTTCAAGTCAGACTCTCGCCCATCACAATGTCCAATTCATTCAATACCAACATCCGAGATCGGTGGGTTATGGTCCATCGACCCAATGGTTTTATTTCCGATGTCCTCCAGAAGAAAACACTACATTGTTGTAATGACGGAACACTTTACGCGCTGGATCAAAAAGCCACTACGATAAGCAGGGTTGTGAGGGAGCATATCGTGGTAAATCACGGTGTACTGCAAGCCATCCTTACGGATCAATGCCCGTGCTTTGAGAGTGATGAATTTCTTGCATGCTTATAGAAGTTAGGCATCGAAAAGATACGCACAACTCCCTATCACCCACAAACCAACGGACTCACCGAACGAGATAACAGAACAATCAAAGGATGGTTGGCAACGAAAGGAGGGGTTGGGATTCGGCCCTACCTTCACTACTTTTAGCGTACCATACCAAACATACACCATTTCATCTAATGTATGGAAGAATTCCAAAGCTGCCAGTGGATCTCGACGTTGGCATTTGGCCGCAAAATGATTTATCTCCTCAACAAATTCAACAGGCAAGCTGTGAGGCCCCGGCAATATCTAAAGTAAAGTATAAGCGGCATATTGGGGTTTCACCGGCTGCCCTAGCTCGGGGAAGTTACTCCCTAGATGGAAACATCCATACGGCATGGTGGAACAACGCCATCCCAATTACAAAATACAACGGATAAACGAAGTCCGTCGTGTAGATCGGAATGATCTCGCAATATGGCACGAGAAAACGTCCAATACACGATTTAAACAAACGAAAGAAACTCCAGAATCCCGTTACAAAAACATCAAGCATGACGCTGCCCGACGATTAAAACCGGAGACAGTCACGTTTACAATCCAAAAAGCAATAGACTATTCGTCGAGGTATGCAGACATCCATTTTAGGACCGAACAGTGTTTGCGCCACAGATTTCACTTGTCCCAGTGGCTCCTTAAAGAGGAGTGGCCGAATTCCTGATAACCAGATAGTTTCGTGGAAGTTCCCTACGAGAGACGTCCGCAGAATCACTCGCTGTTGTTTCAAGACACCTCAGCCTTTGCACAAGCAAGTGCGGCCTGCAAGGCGTTGTTGTTGATACATTTATCCAGGTGGGTCCATATGAGCTCACTAACCATTTGTAAATAAAACCGCAACCCTGTGGAGTTCATGCATCATCATCGAACAGCGAGCTACAGTGATGCGAACTTGACTGATCACTGCCAATCTCACTATGTACACAAGTTAAGCGATAAAGCACAATATGGAGAGGGACTGAGTCTAATTGGAGGGGGGGGGNGGGGGGGGGCAAAGAAAGTGAACCTAGATGGTCAACACACAGAGTGCAAAATCGAACTATGCATACATACCGTTTCAAGCATTCTGGTATGATAAGAAAGGACAACAAGAATGCCACCGCTGTCGGTTCGCTGCCATATCCTCCAGTGTCTCCAACCAACTTGCCTACCTAATGGCTCTGTGCATTTGTTCATGCCTCGTTTCCGCGCCATTTGTTGACCTCCATTTGGCGTGTTCCAACCTGGAGCGGCGATTACGAGTAAAGCGCGGTGCGGTAGACGATGACTGAGTATACGCAATACTTGTCCTAACCAGCGAAGCGGACCAATCTGAATTCGATGGGACAACGAATTCTCCATCGAATCATCACTAAATGTGTGACGCCTTGTCTCAGAGTAGCTTACACGCTCGCTCCATCCAACCCGCGCCAAACTAAGTAAACATCGGCAGTGGAAGACTTCTAGACGATGAATATCTTCCATGCGCAAATTTAGGGTATCGCAACCATAAAGCAGAACTGACCGTACACTGGCGCGGTATGCACGACCTTTCAGTTTCAAAGGAACCACGTCTGCATCAAAGGTGTTTCAGTCCTGCGTAAGCTGCTCGAGCCTTAGAAATGAGAACGGTCACTTCATTAACTACGCTACCGTCATTCGTCACGCAGCTACCAAAGTAGGAGAAACATTCCACTATAGCTTGTTCCTGACCATCAAGTGCTCATGCATCTGTTAGTTATAAGGCTTGTTTTATAAAATCGGATTTTATACTTTTTCACCCATTCAGAAATACGTGCATTAGCATACAGTATTCTGTATCACCAGAAAACTCGTTTGCTTTCAACCTGACGGACGAGCGGTTTGTTTTCTTGTGGCCGGCGCTGTTTGCCTCAACTTCGTGCAGCCACATATAGGAATCAAGTTCCGGCTACCCGCAATCCACATCCCTGTTGCACTTTTCTGGAAGGCGTGAAAGATATGCATCATGAACAATGCTCATATTTTGTTGTCACATGAACACTTTTCAGTATATGATATGTAGGTTTAACCCGTCGGTTATTCGCCATTCTAGCTATCACCGACTCTGTTGGTTCAAATTTTGTTATCTCATCGATGAAAGTTGTTAGCACGGAGCCTAAGGAACCCGTCCGATCGCGCACGCCCTCGAGTCGCATGCTCCCAACGCTCCAGACAGGCTGAACCTGATTGGATGATCACAAAACGTGTCGGCCAATGTTTGTCCAATCGATCAATCGACATATCAAGGACCTGATTGGTGCGTCACTGCGCCGTTCTCGAATGCACGATTAGTTCTATGTTTTGCGTATCGATAGCTAAGCAAGCAATACACACTGACTGTCTCAACCTGTGTTCTCTCCGCGTTGTCGTTGGGGTTTAAGCAAGAGTCGCTCGTGTCATTCGTACGCCTAGACCAAACACAACATAAGTAGCCACAGGAGCTATCTTTAGTTCAATCAAAGGTATTTTCCACCAATTGCTCCACGACTTGTAGCGTAAAGTCACCCAGTCCAAAATCGTGATGCTAGAGGTCAGTTATCTACAAACAGTACACATTTTGGAGTTGCTTTTGCGTTCGAATTTTGTACGATTGACGGCTTTTGATTTTGTTTCTGTTTGCTGTCTTCGGTTGAAGCATCAAACGCCTGAATTCACTCACTGTTACGCCACTGCGTGTCTCCGCAAACTTTGCACTACGAATAAGCCTATCAGGTGATTTGCATTACGCGTAACCCGAACTGACGTAATCTGTGAGTTTCTTTCCGCTTGCCCTGTGGGTGAACTTTATCTTTGGTACGGAGAAATATGAATTTACCTTTCAAAATAAGCCTGACTAACTACGCCGAAAACTGCTTTTACATCAAGGAGTAAGGGAATAGTGGGTCTATGAAAGGAATTTCTGTGTTCTTGAAGTGAACGGAGTAAATGTATGGTCGCACAACCTCAGGTATAAAACCAGCCCGGTTCTCTGGCAGCAATCGACAGAGTATAATGCCGGCAAAGAAGAAAGAGATTGTTCTAATCAGACTAATTCTTTTGTGGTTCGGGAGTTGCTCTCCCCACGTAGAAATCGGTAAAATGACCTGTTAACATAATTTAGTCGGAATCTGGTCGTGTTGAATCCAGGAGATAATGGCAATATGATCGTTTAGAGTCTCCTGTTATAAGCGTAACTAGCACCGAGTCGTGTACTTGATACAGAGATCAATAAATCTGTGAAATGAAATTGTTCTCTCTTCAGTCTGGGACCTGCCGTCAAATTGTACTGGGATCTTTTACAAAAGGAACTTCTGTAATATATTGTAAATGTATTACATTCCGACTCTGTGTCCATTTCTCATTATACAAAAGTGAAAGATTGACGGTTTCACAAACTAAGCCGAAACTTCAGTGCTTCTAACTTTTCCGACCGAAGTTGGTGGTATACTTAATGTGCTCAAACAAGTTCGTTATTTCCTCCTCACAGAGTAAACTGGGCGCTGTTGTCCGTTTAGTTATCCTGTCCCTGCGACTCGCCACTTACAGATACCATTTTTGTTTGTCTGTCAACAAGTTTATATTCCTTGATTTAATTTATATAGTTGGTGTTCAAATGCACATAGTTGGTTTCCGGTACATTTTTGTGTTGCTCATTTTACAGGCTGAAAATATCTACAACGACGACGAGATTGAAATGGGAAATCTTAGACTGGATTCTCAGCCCTAACGTTCTTCATTTGTTATCTCGTATGATTTCCTGTACATCTCTCTAGATTGAACCAGATCTTCTGTACATATGTTTATTTCCATAAACTCTATTTTTTCTTGTTCTCGTCACAAGCTTATAATTGGGGGTTCTAAGCTTTTCGTCGCTTGTGTTCGTTGTTTTTTAATGAATTTTAAATGTTATTTGTGATCGAAAAACCTATGGTTTATTTGAGGTCGAGTCCTGAAACGAACTTAACTCACCTTGGTTACTGGTGCTCTACCGTTTCCATGCACACTATATCGTGTAATCTTTCCGGTTGTCATATCTGTATTCATTTCACCCGGCATAGATTGTTCGGAGGTGTGTATCTTTATACAACACAAATGAAGATGTCTCAATCCCTCTTTTCTGAGAATCTATGGAAAGCACCGAGGGTATCAGATTGCACTGATTCCCGTGTGTCAAGCTTCAACAATTTATACAGTACAAAAGACGGAACGAGGTTTCAAGCTGGTCAACGCGCGTTCCCGTGTGATTTCGCTTTGAACAAAAAAAATCCAGCATTGGCGTGGTAAAGGGTTCTCTGTTTAGAAATTGAATAAACTGGGTCCCTTTATTCATCGCATCAAGACCAAAAGATGACATGCCGCGAGATTTTAACATTTCGTTCAGTCTGACGTAGAACGAACGAGCAAATGGAATTTGTAAGACGAGCTGTTAGAATTATAAGCAAGAGGTCAAATCCACAGCAATTGAATCTGTAGGCAGTTTGCGAGGTGGGCACGATCGATAGGTTTGAAGAAGTTACTGGCGCTGTCCCACGATCAATGTCGGTTGATTCCCACGGTTTTATGTACCTCAGTATTTCGCCATAAATGTATTGAAATCTAAATTTAACTTCTTTGGTCTCGTGAAGTAACTCATTTTCTCAGGGTGAGTAGTTTTCGCTTTATTATTTTTTTCTAAATGTACTGCTGCACCGAACATTTTTGCTGTAGCCTCTCCCAGTTAGAGGAAACCAAGTGGATTTTAACAGTTGATGGGGAGGCAAAGCCTGAAGAAGTACGCAGAGCTGTTAGGTAGTGTAGGTGTCTCGCGCTTTCCAGGTTGGGATCCGCAACTGGTTGTTTGGAGACGTTGGTCGATATGGCAGATCAGTGGCGTTCTGGTCATTTTCTATTATACCAGAATGCTTTAAACGGGATGTATGCCGAGTTTGACTGTGCACTCTATTTTCACCTTCTTCAAAATAGGTCCAATCTCTTTTCCACCTTAAATATCACCACTGACTTGGCGGCAATCAGTGAGATCCATTTTACTGTGTTTCCCTGTACAGTGATAATGATCATTTTTATTTGATTAGCTTCCATGAGACGAAGCACTGTGGTGAAATTAAGGTACTAGGGTACAGAGTGGCATACCGTGTATTCATTGGTTTTTTGTGACACAGTATAATGATGGCAATGATTTCATTCAACGTTGTTCCGAATCCTTCCTATGGTCACTACCGTTTTACAGTATGTTAACCAGGCGAAAGCGATCTTGTCGTTAAGACTCGTGATCGTTGGTACAGTGAGACAATGCGTGTTCATGTTTATCCTTGACCTGAACTATTCTGTATGTGGTGCATAATTGCACCGGCTGTGAATTCTAATTATCTATGGTTCCAAATGTCGGGGGCCACTCTTGGTAAACCTCTTCGTCTTTTGTCACCTCTACTGTTCTGGATGGCATTCGATCGTTTGGCTACATCCCGTAGATAATTTAGGCATATGCTTCGGAAACCAATTTCCATATCCAGCTGTTGTGCCGTGGGCAGTAAACTTGAATTGTAGAGAAGGAAAGAAATGCATCTTGTAGTGTGTTACAACTCAAGTTCTACACATCTGGATGATTTACCATTCCAATAGTGCTCGTTCATTTGTTTTCGACAAAGTAATTGTCGCGTCAAGGGGACAGGGGAAATGTGTCTCCGTTTTAAATGTTATTCAGTGTTTGTTCGTAGCTGAAGTGCATGGTCTCAGTGAAGATTCCTAAAAGTTGACATGACAGATTAGAACACAACCCTCAGTTCGAATTATTGGTGTTCTGAGGAATAAACAACTTGTAATACTCAAGGTGGTAAATATGGCTCAGCATTAGCCTGCTTCTTGGGGGTGAAGGTTTCCTCAAGTTGGATGTGGTGGAGAGACGGACAACTGTGGAGAAATTTAAGCTTTGTTATAAGTGCATTAAATATTGACACCTGGCGCGAGCATGTGAGGACAATGGTAAATGCTTGGTTGATGGTTGCACCGGCAAGCATCATAGCCTGCTTCACTTGTCTCGTAGGGATTGAGTGTCCGCAAATGTGCAAGCAATCGTGTGGGATTCTTGTTCCGCGCCGAATGATATTGCTTACCTCGGAATAGTCCCGGTAAAAATAATTCACGGCGACAAATCGTTGAAGGTACATGCTTTGCTAGATAGCAGTTCGGATACCACAATAGTTAGTAAGGAAGTTCCCGAACTGTTAGAGCTAATTGGCCCGGGAGTACGAATGCACTTTCACACCGTGGCTGGAGAGCGACATATAGTTAGTCAAAGGGTGACACTCGAAATTATCCCCTTTAGGGATGATAAATGCATTAAGGTAAGCACTGCATATACCATGGACGATCTATTAATGCCAAGAGCTCAGGTACCGGCTATGAAACAAAACGGCTCGATTAACCCACCTAAACGGTATAGAAAGTTAGCATCTGACCAACCCTAGGGTTTAGTTGATCATTGGTTGTGATGTCCCCCAAGCTTATTGGGTGAATGATGGTCGATACGGGGGGCCAAACGAGCTCTTTGCGATCGAAACTGCGTTGGAATGGTTGATTATGGGACCGTCCTTGAGCGTAGCAACTTGCAAATAAATGTCTACAGTTACTCGGGAGAGTAAAACTAGCATCACGTTGGAGGATTTATACAACAAGGAGTTTGAAGACCTGCATTCGATGGTCATACATCACTCGGAGGAAGATCGTCGAGCGTTACAAATAGCAGAGAATTCGATTAAACATGACGGGAATCGATTAAGCATCGGATTACCGTGGAAAACCATACCGAACAACTACGAGCTGGTGTTTCGGAGGTTGGCCTGAGACGCAGGTTTAAGCGAGATCCAAATTTATTTAATGGGTACAATAGTTTATTGAACGACCACTTTCTAAAGGGCTATTTCGACCGCGTACCTATCAACTGGAAGTTGCGTACAGACCTAGGTGGTACCTACCACATCATCCGGTAGTAACCCCAAAGAAACCTGCGAAGGTTAGAATATTCTTTGATTGTGCAGCCACCTATCAAGGAGTTTGTCTTGTTCAACACTTATTGTCAGGACCAAATACCGTATCTAACTTGGAGTACTGCTGCTCTTTCGCTTAGGCAAAGTAGCTGTAGCAGCGGACGTACAAGAGGTGTTTTTTTCAGGTTATAGTGCCCGAACGTGACTCGGGGGCACTAAGGTTCCTATGGTGGCCTGATGGAGATCTCAATCAACAACCAAAGGAATATAGAATTCTAGTTCACCCATTTTGTGCGAACTACGCCTTATGCCGCGCTATAGAATCATTCACAGACATAGGCAATGAACGAGTGAGATGTGCAATTGACGTTATTTTTACGTCGACAATTGTTTAGCATCGTTTAACGATACCGAACAAGCGATGCTTTTGGCGGATCAATTAAGAGTAGCGCTTAGCAAAGGAGGTTTCCGGCCATGCAACTGATTGATCAACTGCAGTGACGCCATAAGCAATATTCCGGAGAGCGAAAAGGCGTTGAGTCTTACACAGCTAAATATGAATCTAGATAACCAAGAGCGCACTTCAGGCATGAATTGGCTTATTGTTGGCTATGCTTTCGTTTGAAGCAATCCGAAAGTCATTCACTAAAAGAGGACTACTATCATATGTTGCTTCTCTGTATGACCCTCTGGGTCGCGTTACTCCGATACTTCTGACGGGTAGAGTATTGTTACAAGCACTACATCGCAAAACCCTTGGATGAGATGAACTAGTAGGTGAGAATGACCGGCGCACTTGGGAATCTTTGGTTAATGAGGTCAGCAAATTGAAGGAACTAAAGGTGCCGAGGTTTATGGGGAGTGAAAACCAAAGAGTCCGTGAGTCAGCGAAATTGCACATATTCAGTGACGCGTCTGAATCAGCTTACGGGGCCGCAGCATAAATGGTAATGTTGTATGTAACCTCGTTATGGCTAAATTTTGCGCGGCTCCACTTAAGGCAGTCACCATGCCTAGATTAGAGCTGGTAGCTGCCGTTGTAGCGATTAAGTTATGTGATACCATAATCTGATACCTCGTTGAATCGAGTCTCATACAACTGTGGTTTTGTATCCACACAACCCTGTAAGATAGACCTTTTTCTACTTCTACATTCCAAATGAACAGCGAAAAGCAGCACTCGAACGTGGTTAATAGTTGTACAAACTGAAACGCTGTATTATCTGGAACCCTGGTATACACCAGTGGCGAATACTGACTTTTTTATCTGAAGTCACAAGACAGTGCGTACAAGGAAATTGACACACGCGTTTTCTGCAAACAAGGGGCAGTTTCGTTGTCAGTACTGATTCTTGTCTTTTGGGACCTTGTGCTATGTGCCTTTCCAACTCCCACAGCTTAGTTTCGGGTTTAATGAGAGGACCGGAGATCCACACGACCCGACAGTCTGAACTGGATGGCGTTCTTTAGCCGCATGTCATGCTTGAAAGATCAGTTTGTAGATGCCAGCTAAAGTTCACTTTTGCGAATGCCTAGGCGACCCGCACGCAATTCGAGTCAACCAAACCGACGACGGAAATTACCCACTCCGTTTGTTTCTGTCGAGCATCAACTTCACCCACAGAAGGAGACATCGACGCACATGAAAACCCTCGCCTCTTTATGCGTGCGGACACTCCCGTCGGGCGAGATGTATTTGCCCAAATAGCAAACTTTTTCACGACATATATTATTGCCTCTGCAAGAGTGAGGTTGGGAGCTAAACATTCCTTGTCATGGATGAACATTTTGCACTTTGAGGATGCAAAAAAATACGCCGAACATAGCTACACTAGCCAGAGTCGTTTGCAACTGTTCAATGTCGTCTACCTACTATAAATCAGACAGGTTGTCTTCTGGGAGCGAATCGATCTTTGTACAAGGACGGGGCTATCTCTAGAATAAAATCTATAAAGAAGTTAAATAGAAATCAGAGGCATGGGAACCCTGACGAACACCGCCTTCCTTGGTGAATTCAAGCGGAAAATTGGTCTAGGCGCGAACTTAGCTTTGGTTACCAGGACAAGGGAATCG